CACACACACACCACACACCACTCACGCACACACCATACACACACACACCACATACACACACCACACACACACACACCACACACACACACACCACACGCACACACACACACACTATACACACCACACACGCACCACACACACCACACACACACCATACACACACCACACACGCACCACACACACACACACACACCAAACACACACACACACACACACACACACACACACACACACACACACACACACACACACACACACACACACACACACACACACACACACACACACACACACACACACACACACACACACACACACACACACACACACACACACACACTCACGCACACACGCACACACGCACACACGCACACGCACACGCGCACACACACGCACACAACCACACACACACGCACGCACGCGCGCACGCACGCACGCACGCACGCACGCACCCACGCACCCACGCACCCACGCACACACCCACCCACACACACACAACACACAACACACAACACACAACACACACAACACAACACGCACCAACATACACACAACACGCACAACACACAACGCACACAACACACACAACACACATAACACACACAACACACACAACACACACACAACACACACAACACACACAACACACACACACAACACACACACACAACACACACAACACACACAACACAACACAACACAACACAACACAACACAACACAACACAACACAACACAACACAACACAACACAACACAACACAACACAACACAACACAACACAACACAACACAACACAACACAAACACAACACAAACACAACACAAACACAACACAAACACAACACAAACACAACACACACACACACAACACACGCGCACGCGCACACGCACGCACGCACGCACGCACGCACGCACGCACGCACGCGCGCACACATAACACGTAATCACACACCTCACGCGGATCGTTCGTTTTCCACTGGGGCGTCCAGTTACGGCTAGCGCTGGAAAGCTTGCGTGCGATGCGGCGCCGCCTGCCCGCCTATTACACGCCATGCTTCACTTTGGGGACCGCTTGCACGGAGGATGCCCCGGCAGGGGGACGGCGTGCACAGGCAGGGCTCTCGGGTGGGGGGGGGGCTTGTCTCACAGGGACGGCGTGCTTTCCGGAGGTCGCTGTTGCACCTTGTCTTCCCAACGCCAAGCGCATGTACGTCGCAGTGGGCGCGCGCGCGCGTAGAACCCTGGCTCGTTCCCTCGGCGCGAAGTGTACGAGGATTGCGCTGCACCCGGCTGGTTTGTGCTGGGCCCGCCTCTTAGCTGGGCATGGCGATGCGACCGCATCTGAACTTCCATGTCGGTGGTCTTGCCTCGGCGGCGGTCGCATTTCTGTTTGCAGCGATGCTGTGGCTTCAGCGCTGATCGCATTTTCAGCTCGGCACCGTGCTCCAGCCCTGGCGCGATGCACCATTTGAGTTTAAGCTGTTGTTTGGATGTGTTCTGGTCCAGCGTTTCTCTGCACCTCCACTTGTGCGCCTTGTGCACGCTAGTTCTTCGCTCGCCCGCTTCTTCAGTTGAGCGGTATTGAGGATCGCACGTAACGCCCGATGTGTAAAGAAAGAATGGCCCTAGGGGACTTGTAATGTCCCAGCCTGGCCGCCTTCTCCTGATTAACTCTTCGGTGGATCAACGCTAGCACGCGTAGACCTAAGTATGTTCATGTGGTATGGCTTTCACTCGAGTTCAGTTCCACACCTTGAACCTCTACGTCCTGTCGGCCCTAAATAATCTCGACGTTGTTTGGCATGTGTTGCATGTTTCCCAGATGGTGGGGCCAGGGATGCCCGTCGTGCTATGCACCAGAAACGAGAATTCTAGCATGTCTACGGCGTTAAATTGGGGCTGAAGTGTATCAAAAGACATGTGGCAGTTTCTCCATGGCAAGCTGCCGATTCAAGCTTCTCCAATACAGTGACAAGCGCGGTAGGTTCTCCCTTTTGCCTGGCCTGTATGTGGTTCGGTTTTGGTCGGTGTAAGCGCTTTGCGCTTGGTGCTATGCTTGCGTACACCTTCTGGGCCAACGCCCCCTCAGGCGTGCTGTGCACCGCAAGACTCACCCCTTCTGGTCCCTGTTGGTCTCTATCTGGACGAGAACAAGGCGGAAGAGGAGGAGGAAGGAGGAGGAGAACAGGAGGAGACTGACGAAGCGATGCTGGTTTCAAGGGAGGGGCGGGAGAACCGGGCTTCTTCGGCTGGTCCTCGCCTTAATCCCAGGCGACGCTGCTCGACGAAGACGGCAAGATCCTCGCAGGGGAGGCCCTGCCAGGCCGGCGTCAGTGGGGCGGGCGAAGGGGCGCGTCGGGCTCCTGCCGCCTCGAGGCGGCGGCAACGCAGGCGAGGGCGTTCCAGGTTGAGCTCCCTCCGCGGGGGCCCATCTCGGGCCTGCGAGCCAGACAAAGCCAGCCTTTGGCGCGGTGTACTCCATGTGAGATTCGAGGTCGGGAGCCTCTCAGGACCGAGAACGGAATCGTTCAAGGTGCCAGGACCCAGGACCCACGTCGGGGTGGCACGAAGAGGGGTGGGCTGGCGAGGAGGAGTGAGCCGTGGGGGACCGAGAGTGGAGGGGGAGACGGAGAAGGAGAACTGAAGAGGGGCAGGGCAGAGGGGGAGGGAGGACGAAAGAGGGAGGAGCTGTGGGAGGATGGAAGAGAGAGGGGCCAGGAGGGAGGGAGGCGGAGGGAGGGAGGAGGACGGAGGATCGAGGGGGAGGACGAAGAGGAGGAGAGGAGGAGGAAGCAGGACAGAGGAGGTTGCCGAAGGCGTGGGGCGCAGGAGCCGTGAGCAGATGGAGCAGCTGGCGGAGGACTAGAATGGAGAGGGGGAGAGAGGGGAACGGATGATACGGAGGAGGAGGAGAAGGAGGAAGGAGGAGGAGGAGGAGGAAGGAAAAGGAGGCATGAAGAGCAGGATGAGGAGGCGGGTGCGGAGGATGGATGATGTGGCTGAGGAGGACGAGGAGGAAAGACGATGAGAATGGATGAGGAGGAGGAGGAGGAGGAGGAGGAGGAGGAGGGGGAGGAGGAGGGGGAGGAGGTGGAGGAGGATGAGGAGGAGAACGTGGAGGAGGAGGAGGAGGAGGAGGAGGAGGAGGAGGAGGAGCAGCAGGAGAGAAGAGGAGGAGGAAGAGGAGGATGAGGAGGAGGAGCAGGACCTAAGAAGGATGAGGCTTAACAGGAGGCGCAGGAAGATGAATGCTTGGAGGAGGATGGTTCTTCGGAGGGAGATGACAAGGAGGAAGATGATGAGGAGGAGGAGGATGACGAGGGAGGTGGAGGGATGAGGAGGGGGAATCTTATGAGGACGGAGGATGATGAAGAGGAGGTAGAGGACTATGTGTAATGAAAGGAAGAGGAATCTATGTAGGAAGAAGTGGGGGCGGGGGGAGGGCGAATTATGTTAAGTAGTTCGTATGAGGAGTAGGGAGGAGCGATAGCGAGAGGTGGCACAGGTGTGGAGGAGGGAGGCGCGTGAGGGATTTGTGGCGATGATGACGGGATGTATCCAGAAGAGGCGGTGGGAATGGGTATGTTGATGATGTTGTTGTTGATGCTGATGACGATGCTGATGCAGCAGCTGCTGCTGATGACGCGAATGATACGTATGATGATGCTGGCGTTGATGGCGATGACGATGACGATGGTGGTGATGTTGGTGATTGTGATGGTGACGGTGATGTTGATGATGATGTTGATGATGGTGGTGAAGGCGATCGCGATGGCGATGGCGGTGCTCATGGTGTTGATCATGCTGATACTGGTGATGAGCTGCTGTTGTTGATGGTGTTGATGATGCTGGTGCTGCTGCTGTTGCTGATGGTGATGATGAGGATTGGGCAAGAGGGACGTTTGACGGGAGGAACACTTACCAGTGAGCACGGAGAACGTCATACGGAGAGGAGGCTGAGGAGGATGATTGAGGAAGAGATATCGGAGGAAGAAGAGGCGGGTGTGGATGTTTGATGCTGGATTGGCCTGCCTCCGCGGAGGGCAGGTCCGAGAGAGGTGGGTGTGCGGAGGATGCTGTGGCCGTTGAGAATGAGGACGAGGACGAGGTCTAGCAGGAGGAAGAGGATGGGTACTCCGGATTCCATAACAAAGTGGGGGGGGTCACATTCGGGGGGGGGTCTAATTTGAGCTGTCTTGGAGGGTTCGGGGGGGTCTGGGCAAAGTGCCGCCTTTTGATGGATAGTCTGGGGGGTCTAAAACTTTTCGTCTGGGAGGGTTGTGACCCCCTCCCTTTTTTTACGAAATCTGGAGTATGGTGAGATTGGTTTTCGGGACGAAGCACACCCGTAGTCGCCGACTGGGCTGCTTCTGAGCTCCACGGGATTCTTTTTCGCGGAGGAGCAGCTGCTGGAACATCAGTGAACACATCAGGATGTGCAAAGCATGGGTCCAAACATCTAGCGGTCATAGTTAATTTGTTTCAAGGCATGGCACCCAAGATTGCTCGACCCCTTCCCAGGGACAGCTGCTTTGCGTCATGCGTTGCCTTCGCGTGGCCCGGGCCCAAACCAGCCTCCACCGTGACCAGCATATGGGCGTCGATATGCTGAATTGCTGGATGTCCGGGTGGAGAGTCGAGCAACGTCTGCCTCCACCGTGACAACCATTTGGGCGTCGATATGCTGAATTGCCGGATGTCCGGGTGGAGAGTCAAGCAACGTCCGCCCCCCCACCCCCTCGTCACTCCGAGGCGCCGTGCGGCCAGGAGAGCTCGGGACGGATCCGGCCGTGGCCACGCGGGCCGACCCCCGGCGGCCCACGGAGATCCCCCCGTGTCGACCCTCGATCCTCGAGGTTCGATTTACCAGCCTGGAACATATCCCTTTCCCTATGCTGGGCATCTCCTCATCACGATGCCAATCTTAGGGATTCCCTTGTTTTTTGAGGGCGCATCCCTAAGATTGTCGTCGCCTTCTGGCGTGTCAATCTTAAGGGATAGGGATATACGTTCGAGGCTGGTTACGAGTGTCGACCCTCGATCCTCGAGGCTCGATCCTCGAGCCTCGCGACCCGGGGCCCGAGATCGCGCCGCGGGCTCGAGCGCCCCTCCGCCCCGCCGGGCGGGGCCCCGCCTCCGCGGGCGCCTCGGCGCGCCCCCCCGCCTCGCCAGGCTCCGCCGCGCCGGCAGGGCTCTCGGCGGGCGAGGCCGTCTACGAGACGCGGGAGCTGCTGGAGCCTCCGGGGGGGGGTCGGGCCGGGCGAAAGGGGGGGATAGGGAAAGGGGGGGTTACGAAATTTGCTGCATGCAGCTGGTTTCGGCCTCACCGAGGGGCCCATTCCTCGATACATGGCCGCCCCCGGCGCCGGGAGGCGCCGGGAAAATCAGCTACGTGAGCTGATTCTCAACCCCCACCTTTGCTATCCCCCCCTTTCGCCCGACCCGAGGGGGGCAGCTGCGAGCCGCCGCCGTCGTGCGGGTCCTGCGTGGGAGCCTCGGGTCGGGTATGGCCAGGACCCCCGGGTAAGGGGATATCCGGCTAGTGGTAGGGCCCCGGAGCCTGTGGACTGGCCAGGGTCACTGAGCCAGGTCTGCCGTGGCAGGTGTTTTTTTTTCGGTGACGGCAGTCCTGGTTAGTGGAAACGGGACGGGGGGGGGGCCCCGGTACAGATCACGAAACCAGGTTCCACTAAACCCAGTTCTACCAACGCCCGATCAGGGGACCCCAGAATTCGTTGCGGTCTGGGGTTTTGTCGGACTCGGTCGACATCTGGACGAGCAAAAGTCTGGACGACGGTATGAAGCGGGGTGTTCGAAGTCTGGAGAGTTTTGGTCGAGACAATGCTTTTTGATGGGGCCGCGGAGGTCCACAGAGGCTCCCATGAAGGCTCGCCCGGAAGCTGCTGTCGTTCTGGAGGTCTTCTGGGCGCCTCGAGCGGCGCGAGGAGTTGGCGCTGAGGCGGCCCCCCCCTAGCGAAGGCCGGGGAGGGAGGAAGCACCGCTGACCCTCACGTCGTTGCAGACCAACCTACGCCGCTGTTCTGTAGCTGACTCTTACCAGCCTGGAACTTATCCCTATCCCTATGTTGGGCATCGCCTCGTCACGATGGCGATCTTAGGGATTCCCTCAGTTTCTGAGGGTGCATCCCTAAGATTGTCATCGCCTTTTGGCGAGTCAATCTCAGGGATAGGGATAAGTTCGAGGCTGGTTAACCCCAGGAAGCATTTAAGAACCCCCCCCCCCCCTTCCGGCAAATCGATAACCCTTCCGCACCCTGGAAGCGTTACCTGGCACCAGGAGCCCTCCTCCTCCTCCTCCTCCTCCTCCTCCTCCTCCTCCTCCTCCTCCTCCTCCTCCTCCTCTCCTCCACCCACGAACTTCCTCCTGCCCCCTCCTCCTCCTCCTCCTCCTCCTCCTCCTCCTCCTCCTCCTCCTCCCGCGCCCTCCCGCGAATTTGTTGTGTGTCCGGGTGCTAAACCTATCGTGCGGTTATTTCGGCCCCTCGGAATATTGAATAAAAATGCGGTGCTAAGATATCGCCGGGGGGGTTCTTAAATGCTTCCTGGGATTAGACTCTGCAGGATCCGTTGCACCTGCCGATTTTACCCGATTTGCATACTAGCCTGCGCCGCCACGCCTTTCTCCGCGTCGGCTTGCGCCCGCCAGGAGGAGGACGAGGATCGGGAAGCGGCCAGGGTTCGGGGACAGTAGCAGGATCACGAGAACTGTGGTCGCACCCGCCGCTGCTCACGGCACAGGGTGGACGTGTTTCGGGGGAAGGCTTTCGCGAGAGCGAGACTCAGGAGGAGACAAAACACACAGACACGATTCATCGTCGAATCCCAGGAAAATGTGGGAACATATGGGAAGTGGGGGGGAAGACAAACACCCTGAAAATGTGGGAAACTATGGGGGATCCTTTTATTTGTGTGCATTTGTTTGTCTGTCCTGGGGCCCCTTCAGAAACGCTTCACCCAAAACATGCCCTCCATGTTGCGGGTGAGGGCGCGCGCACCTCGGTGTGCATGATGTGCAGCTCCTGAGGATGGACCCACGTCCGGGTCCTGCGGAGGAGGAGGAGGAGGAGCAGGAGGAGGAAGGGGAGGAGGAGGAGGAGGAGGAAGAGGAGGAGGAGGAGGACGAGGAGGAGGAGGAGGAGGAGGAAGGGCAGGAGGAGGAGGAGGAGGAGGAGGAGCAGGAGGAGGAGGCGGAATGGTTTTCGTGGTTGGCCTTGTCCGACATGGCGGCGCTCAGCGCGAGCCCGGGCGAGTGGGGCGGTCTTCTGAGAGGGCAGAGGGCCGCTCTCCGGGCAGTTCTCGAGACTCCTGGTGACCTCCCCCTGGAACGCTCTCGGAGCGTTCCGGAGCGCTTCGAGACGGCCGCGGCGCCCGATGCATCTTCCAGAGCCGCCGGATATCGGAGGTTCGCGACTTGTGCTCATCCGATTTGCCCATGGGCTGTCACAGCCTGCGGCTGCGCACGCACGCAGGCTTCCAGCCTCGGGGCTTCGTCTTGGTCCCCGTCCTGGCTTCGTCCTTGGCTTCGTCCTTGGCTTCGTCTTGGTTTCCAGCCTTGCGTCCTTGCTTCGTCTCGGTTTCTAGCCTCGGGGCCGTCAGGCAGGTCGCAGGCGGCGAGCCGATCCGTGGGGAAGGGGGTCGAGAGCTCCAGAGGGGGCTGGCGGCTCAGAGCGGTCGCGTCGTCGGAGGTATGGGGTTCGAGGAGTGAGGAGGGCAGGAGCGCAGAAGGAGGGACGGCAGGAGGAGGAGGAGGAGGAGGAGGAGGAGGAGGAGGAGGAGGAGCAGGAGGAGGAGGAGTGGGAGCTGCAGGACATCAGGACGAGGAGGGAGGAGGAGGGAGGAGGAGAGAGGAGGAGGAGGAGGAGGAGGAGGAGGAGGAGGAGGAGAGGAGGGAGGGGGAGGAGGAGGAGGAGGAGGAGGAGGAGGAGGAGGAGGAGGAGGAGCGGCAGGACACGAGGACGACGAAGAGGAGGAGGAGGAGGTGGAGGAGGAGGAGGAGGGCAGCAGTACGTAGGTGGAGGGGGAAGGTGTGACGAGAAGGGTGCTAGGAGGACGAGGAGGAGGAGGAGGAGGCGGAAGGCGGGAGGCGGGAGAAGGGAGGAGGGAGATGAGGGAGGGGAGGTTCGAGGGGATGCAAACCAGCGGCACCCGACGGTATCAACAACCCACCGCCGCGGCTGCCGACACACCATCATCACTGATATTATGCTTCTCCCCTCCGCCTGCTATCATGCTTTTGGTTCGTTAATTGACTACAGGCGGTCCAGCGGAAATCCTGCCCCAATCTTCAAAAAATCTTCGGCCAGAAACTCAAACTCCAAAAACATGTTAAAGAATCTTGAATGGGAAACTCAGAATCCAAGACAACCTGAGAGAATATCAAACACAAAACCTGGGGAAAACTCACACGCATAAGAAACTACAGGAAATCTTGAAGCCGAAACCTGGGAAACACTCAAATCTTCAAAAAACTTAGAAAAAAACCTGAAGCGGAAACCCAGAAAAAAAAACTCAAACCCAGAATGTTTTTTTAGAGTTGTTTTATACGTTTGTCCAGAGTTTGTCCGGAGTTTATTCTAGAGTTTTCAGTAGCTTAGAGTTGTTCCCAGAGTTTTTCCAGCGTTTTTTTAGAGTTTTCAGTCGTTTAGAGTTTTTCTTTAGTTTTTCCAGAGTTTTTTCCAACGTTTTTCCAGAGTTGTTTTTAAGAGTTGTTTTTAAAGTTTTTGTTATATTTTACAAAGTTTTTTCGGAGTTTTTTTTCCCAGGTTTCGGCTTAGAGATTTTCTGGAGTGTTTGTTTGGTTTGAGTTTTTCCCAGGTTTGAGCTTCAGGGTTTTTCCTATGTTTTTGTGGGTTTGAGTTTTTCGCAGGTTCGGTGTTTGAGTTTTTTTCAGGATGTCGACCTCCCCTGGTTATGGTTTCAAGATTTCCTGGTGTTTTTTCTGGTTTGGGTTTTTTGGCCCGAAGTGGTCGTGGACCGCCTGTAGTCGCGATTCACGAACCAACTTCGCCTCCTCCGCTCCTGCTCCAGCTGCATGCCTCTCCTGCATCGTTGTTCTGATTGGCCGAGTGGAGCTGGCCACCCTCTGCGTAATGGTGATGAGCTCTCGAAGCCCGTGTGCAGCCTGCACAGCCGTTGACACACGTAACGCGAGCCAGTGCACAACGCCCCTTTGATGTAATCTTGCGCCTTGCATGTGATACAGCAAATGGTTTGCCCTGCCAGTCAATCGGCGTAACTTTAGGTCGGGCGTGTCCCTCTACAGGGGGAATCTCCAAAAATAATACAACAATAGTCTGGGGACGTTTTTGTTTTACTATGTTTGACCATTTTGGGGGTATGGTTTTGAGTATTTTTTATTTTTCGCCCCAAAATCCCCCTGTAGGGGGAGACCACCGACTTAAGCGTAACCATTACGAGCATTGCAACATCTGAGGGGCCACGGTCCAGGGCTGCGCTCCTTCTCGTACAGCAGCGTCTCGTCTTCTGTTGCAGCTGCTGCTCGTCCGTCTTCTCCTTCCTCCCTCCCCACATGCCGCCAGTCGGAGCGGCAGTCTTGTTTTGTATCTCTGCAGTCATCGTGTTGCCCGGATGCGCGCCGAGCAAGTGACGAAGGGGATGTTCGGGCCCCGGCGGGCCCCGGCGAGCCCCGGGCACCCATAGCTTCCCCGACCCGTGCCCGAAGAACGGCCCGCATAACCAGGGGCTCTCCTGATCCCGAAGTCTTCCTTATTCGAGCGTCTTGGCTGTAGGGAAAGCTGCTGGTCAGATTGCCGCAGCGGTTTGCGCCCAGCCCATGCCCTGGTGCTTACGTGGGCGTTTAGAGAGGCTGGCAAGGGGCTGAGTTGGAGGAGGAGGAGGAGAAGGAGGAGGAGAAATGGGGAGGGAGGTGACGGTGGTCGGACCCGACGGTGTTGGGAGAATAAGGTGGGAGCCCAGGGCGGGTCAGGCGTACGCAGAGCGCCAGCCCAGGAGGAGAGCTTCCCTCCCTCCTGGTGCGTCCTGTCAGTCGTCTTGGCGGCGCGCCCCGCCCCCAGCTTGGCATCGGCACCTGAGCCTCACGCGTCCAGGGGAACGAGCGCCCCATCCAGGGATCGACCCAAACAGTGTTTTTCGTTCTGGTTTTGCTTTCGGTGTCCCTCGCTTTGTCTTCAATCCGCCCCTACTGAACAACTAAGTCGAAACGAAAACGGCCCACGAAATCGCCCAAACACCGTTTAGGTCGACTCCTGCGCCCAGGCGCTTGAGCTCCGACGAGTGGAGCAGCCCAGACGCCTGGCGGCCTTCCCTCGCCTCTCCCCTTGCGCCCTTCCTGCTTCCTCCCTGCTTTCGCTCCTCGCCTCTCACACCTCCCTCCTCCTCCTGCCTCCTCCTGCCTCCTCCTCCTGCCTCCTCCTCCTGCCTCCTCCTCCTGTCTCCTCCTGCCTCCTCCTGCCTCTTCTTGCCTCCTCCTCCCTTCTCCTCCCTCCTCCTCCCTCCTCCTCCTACTCCTCCTCCTCCTCCTCCTCCTCCTCCTCCTCCTCTTCGTCCGTCTGCAGACCTCTCAGAACCTCGAAACCTTTGAAAGGACCACCGAGCACGTCCAGGAACGGTCCCAAGACCTGCAGGAGATTCCGTGAGCAAATCATCTTTCCCCCGCCTCATCTGAAAGAAAGGGGCACTGAGAGAGATGTCCCGAGCATCTTGGCCAGTTCCGCCCCCCCACGTCCAGGACAAATCACAACATGACGCATGATGAAGCGCTGGTCCTGGGGGAAGCCCCAGGCCGGCCTCAGGGCCGATTCACTCCAGACCCTCTCGTCATCGCTTGGCTGGGCGCGCAAGAGGGTGTGGCGAGGAGGAGCCGTCACTCCTTCGAAGCCCTCCTGCCTTCTCGGAAGCCTTCTGAGAAGCCCCTCTGCCCTTGCAAGAAATTGCCGGCCCCCTCGGGACGCCGCCCTCGCCCCACCCTCCTCTGCGCGCCGCCGGAGAGGGCATGACCCGCCCCCCTCCTCTCCCCCGGAGCGCCCCCGGGCAGGACCAGTACCTGGGCCTGCACTTCCCCGCCTCGGGCCTCGAGGACGCTCCCGTCCCCCCCCCCCCAGGCGGTGGGGTGGGAGGAGGGGGTCGCCGGAGCGGCGGGTGGGGGGCGAAGGAGGTTGGGCGGAGGGCGCCGACGCCCCGCTTCGGGCCTCGAGGCCGCCAGGGGGGGGGGGGGTCGCCGGAGCGGCGGGTGGGGGGGGCGAGGGAGGTGGGGCGGCGGGCGCCGACGCCGCGGAGCGAGATGTTTTGTTTGGCTCGCTCTGGACGCTCCCCCTCCTCCTCCTCCTCCTCCTCCTCCTCCTCCTCCTCCTCCTCCTGTCGGATGCGTCGGGGTGTCTTGCGCGCTTCTGCAGGCTTCGGATGTTTCGGACGCTCGCCGCCGCCGTTCCCGGATCGCTGCGGCTGCTCCTTTGCGCGTTCCTGGAGGTTCTCGCCGCCACGGCCGGAGGCAGCCGTGAACGACCGGCCCCGACGGATCCCGGGGGGGTTCTCTTGGGAGTGGTGCCGACCAATTGTTGGCAGGGAGGGAGTTCAGGATCGAGGCACAAGGTTCTCAGCGTACTCCAGATTTCGTAATAAAAGGGAGGGGGTCTGGACCCTCCAAGACAAGCCATTTCAGACCTCCCCCCGTGGAGAACCCTCCGAAACATCGTCCCCAGACCCCCCAGGCCCTCCAAGATAGCCTGGAAGAGACCCCCCCGAAATGAGACCCCCCTCCCTTTATTACGAAATGTGGAGTATTCGGCATCTTTGGTACCTCCGGAGGCCTTCGGAGCTTCGAAGGCTTCCAGGGACCTGGGGAGGCCTCTGGCGATTTCAGAGGCCTTCCAGAAGGCGAGGGAACGGGGTGCAGGCGGGAAGCAGAAGGGCGGAAGGGAGGCGTGGAGGAGAGGGGGCTTCCAGAACAGGGCCCAAGCCTGGGTGTGTTGATATTTGCTACTCAATTTGATGATTACGATGACGATGCTGATGATGCTGCTGCTGCTGCTGATGATGATGATGATGGTGATGATGATGATGATGAATGGTGATGATGGTGGTGGTGGTGATGGTGATGATGGTGGTGGGGAGGATCATAATGAGGATTATGATAATGATGATAACAATGACGATGATGATGCTGCTGATGATGATGATGAGGACTGGGATGGTGATGCTGACAATGGCGATGATGATGCTAATAATAATAATAATAAGTATGAGGATGATGAGTATGAGTATGAGTATGACGACTATGATGGCGACTGTGATGATGCGTATGACGATGATGACGATGCTGCTGCTGATGATGAGGAGGAGGAATATTATGATGAATGTGATGAGGATTATGATGATTATGCAGCCGCTGCTGCTGACGATGATGATGCCGATGATGATGATGATGATGATGATGATGATGATGATGATGATGATGATGATGATGATGATGATGATGATGATGATGGAGGTGGTGGTGACGATGATGATGATGATGATGATGATGACCTTGTCGCTGATGATGCTGGTACTGATGATGATGCTGACCTTGACGCTGACGATGATGCTGATGCTGATGCTGATGATGCTAATGATGCTGATGCTTAGGATGATGCTGGTGACGGTGATCATGAGGATGACGCTGATGATAATAACGATTTCGCGGATGACTAAGATGATGATTATGATGCTGATGATGATGATGACGGCAACGATGACGACGACGATGCCAACGACGACGATGATGATGATGATGATGATGATGATGATGATGATGATGATGATGATGATGATGATGATGATGATGGTGGTCACCACCATGATCATGATACTGGTGCTGATGCTAATGCTACTGCTGATGATGACGATGGCGGTGATGGTGATGCTGATTATGATGATGCAGATACTGGCGATGACGCTCATGCTGATGATGATGCTGATGGTGATGATGGTCGTGGTGTTGATTGTGGTGATGATGATGGTGGCGGTGATGGTGTTAATGATGGCGACGGTGATGGTGATGGTGATGGCGATGGTAATGATGGTGGTGGTGATGATCCCGTGTCGGTACTTAGAATTGCAGCTACCGACACCAGCGGTCGGCTTGCGGGCGCAGCGTTGCGTCGTTGCACCCTTCGCGAGGCGTCGTCGCCAACAAGGCAGGTTCGCCGTCGGACGGCGGCCGACCTCCGCGACGCCAGAATGTTAGAAGTGTGAGTGCGCTTCGAACAGAATAACGAAAACGGCGTAAGCATATTTTCACGGAGGTCCACGCGGATTTTTTGTTTTTTACAACAAAGCCTAAGTCACTCGTGAGGTGCCAAGGCTTCTCGTAACGGCCGCGCACGAAAGGACAATATTTGAGCCAACGCCTGAACGGCCTCGTCCATGGCGATGGTTTCTGCTAGAAATGAAGATACAGGGTCAGACATAAACGTTCATACGCGGATTCTTGTATCGGCGTTGGGCCCCCTTTGGCGGTGCCTCTGGCGCCGCTCCCGGTGCGCTCCGCGCGCCAGGGAGGAGGGCCCGCGCCGATCCAAGCAGCCCGTGCGGACCCCGGAGCCACACCGTAAGTCTACCTCCTAATCGGGGGCCCCCAAAACGGTGTGGTGACCACACCGTGCGGTGAGTCGGTGGGGGAAGTTCTAAACTCAATTGGTATGGCTGTTTTTGAAAAAATGGTTGTGATTGTGGCTTTAAATTGACTTGGAATTCGGGATTCCGGGTCACCGCACGGTTTTGGGACTCGAGCCCGTCTCCGAGGATGTCTCGGGCGACAGGGGCCTCCGTGGTCCCAGGGCCGTGCGGTGACGGACCGCGCGGTGAGGTCTCTGGGGGTCCCGAGGTCACCGCACCGTCGCGGGACTCCAACTCTAAGCTGAGTCATCGTCAGACGGTTCACCCCACGCCATCCCTTTCGCCACGGAGCGATTTCATGCCAGCTTGAGTCACCCCCCGGGACCAAACCTTAGCTTCTACTCCGCGCTCTTTCCTCTTGTGAAGGCCGTAGGGCCGGTGCCGCCGACCGTGAAGGGGGACGACGAAGACGACCACGTCGGCGACGACGACGACGACGTTCGCGAGCCCCCGTGGGGGCCCTTGTGGGCCCTGTTGGCCTCGCACCCCCCCCCCCCGGGACCCCCACCCGGGACCGCCCCCGGCGATCCCCTCCCGGGAGCGCCCCCCCCCCCCTTCGGAGTGCAAGGGCTCAAGAGCCTCCTCTTCGACTCCCTTGGTGCTCCCCCCTTCGGAGTGCAAGGGCTCAAGAGCCTCCCCTTCGACTCCCTTGGTGCTTCCCCCTTTCGGAGTGCAAGGGCTCAAGAGCCTCCCCTTCGACTCCCTTGGTGCTTCCCCCCTTTCGGAGTGCAAGGGCTCAAGAGCCTCCCCTTCGACTCCCTTCGTACTTCCCCTCTTCGGAGTGCAAGGGCTCAAGGGCCTCCCCTTCGACTCCCGTGGTGCTTCCCCCCTCCCGCGGCTCCCGTGGGGCTCGCGTGGGCCGTCCTGGTCGGGGAGGGGCGCCCCCAGCGACCCCCCCCTGGACCCCGCGGCCTCCGCGGCGACCCCCGCCCGGAGTCTCCTGCCCCCAGCGGGGAGGGGGTCAGAGGGAAGGGGCTTCCCTCTGACTCGATTGCAACGTTCCTCCTCCTCCTCCTCCTTCTTCTCCTCCTCCTCCTCCTCCTTCTCCTCCTCCTCCTCCTCCTCCTCCTCCTCCTCCTCCTCCTCCTCCTCCTCCTCCTCCTCCCTTCTATGTGCTTAGCTCTCGTTTGTCGACTGTGCATAACACGATTGCAACGTTGCTCGATGTACGTCTGGCTGGATCGTTTGAGGAGGAGGGCCCAGGGACAGGGGGAGGGTGGCGACGACGACGACGACGACGACGACGACTCCAACGGAAAAGGGGAGCGGCGACGGCGACGACGACGACGACTCAAGCGGAGAAGCGTCTCGTACAAGCCGACAGGGTCGGCGGATTTTGAACGAGAGTTTGTATCTCCCTTCGGTTCGCATGATCAATGACGCTGCACCAATCAGAAGGCATCGCATTGAAAGCCATGTCCACTTTGACAAGCCCGAAGAGGTGGCGTGAGACATACTGCATTGATATCCACGCGTTTTCCCAATCCCGATGCCAATGCCACTCTTGTCGCAGCCCTAGATCATTCCGCACCGCTTGCCAGCGCACACATCTAATGGCGTTCGGCCCGTCCCGCCACCTTGCCTGGGTTGTCGACTAGAGGCTTGCTGGAGGCCTCGTGGAGTCTCAATCGGGAGCCCCTCGGAGGCCCCTTCGGGGCCTCTTGGACCTCCTAGGGCCTCATTTTGGGGTACAGTAGGGGTCCTGAAGAAGGAACCCTTTTCCTTGGGGAGGGGCTCCGTGTTCCTTGAGTGTTTCACAGCTTGCCTTGGGTTTCCCTCAGGTTTTCGAAGGGAACTCGAAGCTCAACTTCTGGAGAAAAGGGGCCTCGTTCCTTATTTAGGGTTCCTTAGGTCAACGCCCCGACTGTCCGTAGCCATTTTGGCTCAAGTCCGTAGCCGTTTCTGGCACAAGGGCTTGAAGTCACCTGGCGTGGGGGAGGCGCGGCGCGCCCCCGCCCGCGATCCTGCGGCCAGGTTGGCTGCAGACATACTTGTGTGAGCTCCTGTCGGAGCAGCTCCCGTGAGGAGCACCGTACCCTGCAACGACGTCCAGGATTTGCCTCCTGGTGCTCGCCCCATGGCTCCTGCTCCTGCGGCCGTGCGGCCTCCGTGGTGGAAGCTGCCGACCAAGTTCGTGTCCCCACCCTGGGGAGGTCAACAGAAGCAGCAGTGGCAGGCATGGCGAGACATCGGTTCCGACGACGACCTCGAGGGCTGGCACCAGGTGGGGCAAACTGGAGGAGGGCCGTGGTGCAGTAAGTGCGGCTGCAAGAAGAACTCCAAGGGCAGCAAGTTCAGCAAAGCCTGCGGCCATAAACTCTCGGACATCAGCCCAGCCGTCGCTGCCGAACCCGCGGGGGTCTGGAACGAGCAGCGAAGACAGCACGGGGATGCCGATGGCAAGGACGGCAAAGGCGGCAAGA